TTCAATTCGCACAAAATAATAATAATAACCATCCTGAAATGCTAATAATAATTATTATCATCCGTTGATTGAAAAAAAAAAATAAACCAAAATCCAGGTGAAGATTACATTCTCGAATATCATCATCACAATGATAATGAGAAAATTGTATCAATTTCGTCAACAAAGGATGAATAACAACAACTACCATCATCAATCGCAATCCTGTCAGATCACACTGTACATTCATCTTCAACAAAGAGATTTCTTTAAAATTATCTATTTTTTCATTAATCTTCCCCAGGTTATAATCAACACCTGTGTGTATGTGTCATCATCATCATCATTATGATTATTGTCGTTGGTCCAGTTTATTTATGGTTTTTGTTTGTTTGTTTGTCGCCATATAGATTGTCATCATCATTTCAATCTATTCCAAAAAAATCCAAAATGAAAAGCAATAATAACTCGGTTCAGACATTTTGAAAGTGAAAAAAACAATAATAATTTTTCCAATTAACAAACGAAAAAAAAATTCTATAGATCCAAGGATGTTTGCCCTGTAAAAATAGACAAGACAAATGTAATGAATTTTTCATCTATTTTTTGATAAAATTGTTTGCTTTTTCCTTTATTTCTTGATGATTAATGGATTATCGTTGATTGGTTTCATGCTATTTTTTATTCACCGATAAATTTAGAGTCAGACGAACGCACACACGTTATTTGTGGATGATGAAAATGCTTTTCGCATTTATTTTTAATCATTTTCAAAAAAAAAAGATTTTCAAATTTTTAAAATTGAACGTCATTTATGAACACACATATCTCATTCATAAGTGTCGCAGTTTATTGGTGTTTGCAATTTGTGATTTGTGATTTGTGATTTATGATTGTTTGATGTTATAAATATAATGATGATGATGATGATGATCCACATAAAAATGGTAACAATCTTGCAAAATACAAAAATTTGTTTCTGGATCAAACATAAACAGCGAAATAAGAAAACAACAACACCTGTTTAGCATGTTTTAAATTCAGATTTTTCATTTTTTATTTTCTGATTTTTGATCAAGATTTGACCAAAGATTCAATGATGATGATGATGATGATAATTTTGTTGTATGTTTCCAAAAAAATATGTAGGTAGTTTATCTCATGGCAAGAATTGTAACGAAACAACAGAACAAAATTTGATAAAAATCTTCAAAATGAATCGTTATTTTTCTGTGTTTTTTTTGGCGAAAATGAATCAAGATTTGACAATGAAAATGATTCTAAGGCAAAGAAAAAAAAAACAATTGAAATTATCATCATCATCATCATCGAAATTTTGAATGTAAATTTCAAAAATGTTTATTTAGTTAGTTAGTTGTATTTATTTTCAATGAACAAAACTTTCACCTAGATTTTTTTTTTGTTTGTGTGTAAATCGATTTATATGGCCCATTTATAATTTTGTTGTTTGTTTTTTAAATTGAAAATATTTTTACAAACACAACAAAACAACGATGATTATTGTGTGTGTGTTTGATTTCTACGAAAAAAAGCCATAGAGAAGATTAATGGAATAAAAAATTGAAAAAATAAATACACTGTATTCAAATAGGTGTCATCGATTGATCAATCATCATCATCATCATCATCATCGGTAACAGATGTAAAATTATCATCATTTTTCCATTTGAAACATTGTTGTTGTTCCAAATGGAACAACAACAACAACAACAAGCAAACAACAACAACAACAAAAAGTAATGATATCTGTGGATGAGAGACAACAAATGGATCATAAAAATTCGGAAGGTGTTTGAATCGATTTTCTGATTTTTTTTTCGTTTTGTTTGTTTTTTGCATCGCATTCATCAGAAACAAAAAAGTTGCAAAATTCTTGGTGATTTATTTAGAATGTTGTTGTTGTTGTTGTTGTTGTTGATGATGATCATTATCAACAACAACAACAACAACGAAAAAAAGTTTCTTTTTTTTCTACTTTTGTTTCTGTATAAACCATTACGTAATCATAAATCAAATCAACAATCTCTCTCTGTGTGGTGGCGATGATTTGTAGCTGAATTCGAGGTCAAACAAACTAAACGACTAAATTTAAATTTTATAATGAAAAGATAATCCAGATCGCACAAAGAACAAGTCAAGTTTTTCAAATCAAATAAAAACATTTTGACATTTGAAATGACCATTGGAATTTTTCCAGGAAAAATTTGGCAAGTTTTTTTTTTTGCTGGAAAAGTTTTTCGGGTGGAAAAGAAATTTTTTTCCGGAATTAATCATGTGTGTATAGGTTTTTTTTTTTGTTTCGGGAAAATTACCCGGTGTGTGACTTGTCTGACAATCATCACTATTTATAGGGTGTGTGTGTTCACTTTTCAAAATGTAATCTTTTTTTTTTGTTCTGAAATTATCCGATTAATCAGATAATGAAATAACCGAACCAAAAAAAAAATACACAAGATTTTCGCATGAACAAACAAACAAAAAAAAACATGTGACAAGTGACAAGTGAAGCTTTTCGGGAAAATTTTTTCCGAAAAGCAAAAAATGATTTTCACACTTTTTTTTGTTACTGTTGTTGTTGTTTTAAGGAAACAAAAATCAATTGATCGGTTATTATTGTTTGGACAAAGTCATTTGCGGTTATTCGAAAATCAAAATACAAAATTGATTCGATTTGGAAACTTTTTTTGTTCGGGAAACTTTCTAGAATTTTTTTTGTTGCAAAAACTTGTCAGTTTTTTTTTGAAATTTGGAAATCAAGAAAGCCCAAAAGAAAGCTATAAAAACATAAAACAATAACATTTTTTTTAAAGATTTAGAGCAATTGATAACGAAAAATGAAAGCTAAATTTTCTTTTTGTTTTTTATGTTTTTGATGGCCATAAATCTTTTTTATTTTTTCGTTGAAAAACCACACACAAAATTATCATCATCATCCTTATGAATGAATGAATGATGCTAATGATAATTGAACAACTTTTGTGATTCAATGTGATGTGATGATGCGGATAATGATGATGATAATAAAGATGATTATCCGTGGCTAATTACGGTAAACATTTTGTTTTTTGTTTTTGTTTTTGAAAATTTTTTTAAATTCCCATAAATTTTTCATTATTCTAACGGTCAATGGACAATAGAAATCGGGGGGGAGAAGAAAGTTTTTCATAGTTTTCTCCGGTGTGATGATGATCATGATGATGACCTTATGGATAAAATACTTTCAATTTGACCATATTAACAAAACAAAAATCCGAAGAAAATTTATCTGGATCATCATATGGATGACCATAATTATGGCTAGTTAGTTAGTTAGCGAGTTTTTCTTCTTCATATGTACGTTCATTAATAAGTGTGTAAATGATGCTTGTTGTTGTTTTTTTTTCGTTGAATGAAGTGTTTAGTTTGTAAGTTAGCGCGTGGGTGGATGGATAATTTGTGTGGGAAAAAGAAAAACAAAGAAGAAGATAGTGATCGATTTATTTCATTGTTTTTTGGGATTTGAATTTGAATGTTTTTTTCCATCAAGAATTCTCTCTCTCTCACTCTCTCTAAGCTGCAAAATGACCATCATCGGAATGTTTGTCACAGAGATTTTCGTTTGTTTGTTTGCAGGAAGGCTGTAGGAAAGCTGATGAATCTGTTGACAACATTTGAAGTTTGCAAGTTACAACAACAACAAGGAACAACTGTAAGGAAATTAAAAATTTTTCTACTTCTTCTTCTTCTTCACTCAGTTTGTTATCATTATCATCACCATAAACATTATCATCATGTTTGGTCATTATCCATTGTCAATGTTTATGGATGATGATGATCATTATTATTTTTTTTATGCATAACAAACACTTTTCTGTTTTGTTTTGTTTGTAGAACACGAAAAAAATCCAAAGCAAAGCAAAGCAAAGCAAAAAAAAAAGAATTAAATCAGTGTCATTGTGACATTCAATTCATCCAATGTTGGATGTTGACAACATTTTCGAGAAAAAACATTATCGACATAAGTGTCTCGCTATGTGTGTGTGTGTCAATGGCATCCTCCACAAAAAAAACACGCCGCATCATTTTTTAAACGACAGTAATGTTGTTGACAATGATGATAATGATCCATATTTTTCTTCAACTGTTTACAAACAGTTTTTTTTGTTTGAATGAATGTCGTCAAACAAATTTGGATTTTTTCTTTGCTGCGAATAATGGGATAAATGGAAATCAAGTCAAAACCGGGTTACATAACATAACGACGATGACGACAATGTTATGTATACATATTTCGGATATAATATTTTCTGTTGTTTGCAGGAAAATTGTCTTTTTTTTTCTCAAAAGGATTTTCGATGTTTTCGAAAGGTGAAAACAATTCTTTAGGAGAAAAAAGCATGGAAACATCAAAAACAAGAGATTCTTATCTTTGCATTGTTTTTCGTTTCTATGACTTTGGCTTGTCATTGTTGTTTTCGCTTTTCTTAATCCTTTTTTTCCTTGATTTCTGTTAAATGATTAAAATTTTGATTTTTTGATTTTTGTTTCCCCCCAATTCCAGATGATGATGGCCAATAAATCAAAAATCAATAAAAAAATCGAATGATTTATTCAGTCGATTTGTAAAACATTTTTTTATTTATAAATAAAAATTAATAAATGCTATGTGATGATAAAATGTTTTTTGTTTTGTTTTGTTGTTGTTGTTTTTAAAATTAAATTAAATTAACATTTTTTTCATCTGTTGTGTAATCTACAAAACATTATCTATGAAGAAGAAGTAGAAACATTTCCGGGATTTTTTGGAAAACAAAAACAAAAACAAAACAAAAAAATTCAAATTGGTCGATTCGATTATTATTATTGTTGTTGTTGATGGATAGATTCAATAATCTCCAAGTTTTCATCTCTGTAGGTGTGGTAAAATTCGATGATGATAATGATGATCATTTTAAAATTTTTTTTTCTCAATCGAATAGGTGTGGTGATTTACATTATGATGATGATGATTATGTAACAACCACTACCATCATCTTCTGTTGTTGTTTTTTTCTTGAGAAATTTTGACATTTGAAACATCATTTTTTTTCATCTAACCGATGTTGGTGGCAGTGATTTATTTTCATTTGTTGTTGTTGATGTATCGGTTGATGGCGTTGATGGTATCGGTGGTCGACGTTTACCATTTTCAAAATAATTATAAAATTCAGATAAATATAATGCAATTGAACGTTTATCCGGTTCAATATGTTTCAACATATCTTCTGCATCTAATAATTCTGGTATGGAAAAATGTTCTTTTGCCAAATGAAATGCTAAACGATTATTATGTAGAATATCATCTTTTTTTAGATTATCATAATCACTGTAAACAAAAACAAAAAATAATAGAATTTTTCAATTAGAAAAATAGATTTTTACATTTCAAATTCAAACAGAAAACTTACATGAGATCAGGACGAAAATAATGAATAATAGCACAGAATGCTAAACCATCACGCCATGATGTTGTTAAATCATTTATATGAACATTTTGATAACCGGTAGTTATACGACGTCCCCATGCTTCTAATGCATCGATACCACGTTTAACTACTTTAACTTGACCATTACCATTCATCGATGATGATGATGATCTACCATTACCAAAATTGACGGGCATTATTTCGATATTTACTCAGGGGTAACGGTGAAAAATTCGTTTGTTTGATTTGATCTGTAAAAACTGAAACAAAAATGGGGAAAATTAGAAATGATTTCATCAAATTTATATGGGAAAAACAAAAAACAAAAAAAAACTCAAATCAAAATCAGGTGATGAACCAAACAAACTCACAAAAACCTACATTATACGTTTAATTAACGTCTGTTTTTTTGTTGCTGTTGTTTTGCAACAAAACAAAAACAACAACCTAAAAAATGGCTCGTAAAACTACGTTTATAACGTTAAATTTATGATTTTAATTGAAAAAAATAACTAAAACTTAAAAATAAAAATTCAAATTACAAAAACGAAAACGTTGATGATAACAACGAAAATCGTTCGAAATACGCAAACAACGCATATGCAATTCGAATGTTTTTTTTTTGTTGAAACGTTCGAATTCGAACACAAAACGTTCGAAACCAAAACGTTCGAATTCGAACGATTCTTTTTCGAACACAAACACCATATGACCTACCTGTATGACTTGTCCTGATTGATTGATTGATTGATTGGTTTTTTTTCGTTGATTTGTTTTGATCGATGATGTTTTCAATGTCAATAAAAGATGTTTATTTTACAACAAATTCCGGTCTTTCGATTGGTTGACCGCAATATCAACAAATTGATGAAATATTTTTTTGTTTAAAAATAAAGATAAAGGTAAACAAACAAATAGTGATTATTTTGGTTGTATGATGTTTTGATGAAAATTTTTTATTTTTTTGGTGAGAAAAGAGAAAAAAAACGGTAAACCAGTTCATCACACACACACATAGTCGCTATTTAAATGTGCAAAATAACCACCATCGCCACCACCAATCTCGATGACCGAGAAAAAAAACATCCAAATCAAAGAGAAGAAGAAAAAAAATTGTCGAATAACGATGATGATGATTATACCTGACTATACCTGATGAATTTCAAAAAATAAACACCAGACAGGTAAAATCAAATCAGGTAGACAAAAAAAAAGGATTGACATCAAACACCGTTTATCGAAATTATCATTATCATCATCATCATCATTATGAATGTTGACCGAATTACGCAGATGACATCATTATTATCATCCACATCATCATCATCATCATTCAGGTGAACGAAGAGAGAGAGAGAAAAAGAGTTGACCGAATTATTGGTTGTCTACATTTCGGTTATTATTCATCATCATCATCATCATCATCATAAGCTAAAAACTTTTATCGGTTAGTCGGTTATTCATCATTATTCATAATTCGATTAACAGAACAAAAAAAAAATTCATTAATTTTAATTAGGTTTCTGGTTTTCAAAACGAACATAAACGAACGAAAATCTTGGCGAAAAAATTTTTCAAGTTCAAAATTCGTACATCCGAAAACAGAAACAGAATAAAAAATTGATGACGACAACGAACGAACGAACGAACGAACGAACGGAATTTTCATTTTTTTTCCAGATAAAAATAGAAACTAATCTTCGACAGACAACAAACATCATTCATTCATTAAATCATTCATTTATTTTTGAAAGAACGAACAGAATTCTGCGTTTAAAACAGAATCAAGTCGGTGCGTTTTTTTTTGGTTTGATTCTTTCAATTCTCTCAATCATCATTAACATTAATTAAATTTGAAAACAAAAAAATTCATCAAGAAAAAGCATCCATCCACCCACACACCAGATGGAATTTTTCGATGGAAGAAAATCAACAACAACAACCTTACCTTTTATGGTTTTTCAAAAAAAATGCTGATGATTTTGTTGATGATGTTGATGATGAAAAACAGAATTCTGTTTGTAAAATTTTGATTCTATAAAAGTTTTTGTTTATAAAATCAAAATTTTATTATCATAACATGTCAAACAAACAAACAAACAAATTGATTTTTTTTCATTCAAATTTTGTTGTTGTTGTTGTTGATTGATTTTTTAATTATAACAACAACAACAACAATTTTTTTTTTGTTTTGGAAAAATCCAAACAAACAAAGCTCGATACGAGTAATTGGGGATTGGTGGAGGGGAAAGAACAGGTTTTGTTTCTCTTTGGCTATGATAATGTCGGTGTGTGTGTGTCTCGTTGAAGAACTTTGACATTCGCGATGTATTCGCGATATTTGACATTCAAAGTCGGTAAAACACCTGTTGTTGTTGTTGTTGCGGTAATTATCATGTATGCTTTGGCCTGGTTTTCGGTTTTCTGGTTACCTCGATATTTCATTTTCAAAAATGATTTTTTCAAAAAAGAAAGGAAAGGAAATGCTAAACGCGTTAATTGCCAAATTTGATTTTCAAATTCACAATTCTCATCAACGTATAAACAGGGCAATTGAATACATTGTTTATTAATGGTCCACCATCAACAAAAAAAAAATCCATGCTTTTGTTTTTGTTTTTGTGTGTTTGCGGTATTTTGATTCGGTTTTTTCTTTTAGCATTTTTCATTTGTAAAATTTACCTCTTTCATCCAGAAATTTGATATAACTTAACGAACCAAAACGAAAAAGAATGGCTCAAACATTACCATTAAATCCAAAACCATTTCTAAATGGTTTAACTGGTAAACCAATTATTGTCAAATTGAAATGGGGAATGGAATATAAAGGATTTCTTGTTTCAGTTGATGCATATATGAATTTACAGTTAGCAAATACTGAAGAATATATTGATGGTGCTTGTACTGGTAATCTTGGTGAAGTATTAGTACGTTGTAATAATGTTCTTTATATAAGGGGTATTGAAGAAGAAGAAGAAGATGGTGAAATGAAAGATTAATTCAATTATCATTCAATATCATTCAACGAATAAAATACATCGATCTCCGATCTTCATTGGAACCAGAAAACGTAACGAAATTTGCATGATATTCCCTGTCATTCATTTTTTTCGCTTATAAAAATCACATTTTCATTCATTTTCAATGTATGAATTTATTCATCATCATTATCATCAAATAAAACATTTTTTTCAAAATTACAAAAAATTTTCACCAAATTTTTTTTCATCAATTTGGAATAGGTGTTGCAGCCATTGCTAAACTTTCAATAGCACATTCATCCGTACCACGACGCATCCAAAAATAACCATCCATACCCCATTGTTTACCCCAACTATTTTTAACGATCCAATATTTTTCACCAGTTTTTTTATCTTTTCCATAACCGACAATCAAAACAGCATGATTTGTCATTTCGAATGGATTAAATTCAGCTTTAATTTGTTGATGTTGATCGTTCGATTCATTAGATGGTTGATGTGAATAAATACCTTCGGAATAACCGAAAAAATCACCATAAACTTCAAACCCAACAGCAATTGGTCCATTTTGTACTAATTCAATTTGCATTGCTTCTTCATTACAAGCACCAAAATAACCACCAACATATTTATAATCAATTGTATATGTACGTTGTTTACATTTTTCATTGGTTTGATTGAAATTTTGTTGATTTTGACATTTACCCGTAACACCTTTATATGGATAACAAGATTCATCTATAACACCAAAATCTTGTGCATATTTACCGGCAATCAAATAACTAAAACCACCATCACAACCTTGTGAATATTCAGAACAATCAACTACTTCTTGTGTTGAAAATATTGGTTTAAATGTATTATTTGTTTGTATACGAATACGTGATTCTAACATTGCCATTGATGCAAATGTATAACAACTACCACATTTACCTTGATCACGTACAGGTGATACATAATCAATACCATTCAAATTACGCCAATCAAATGATTCAGGTAAACTACGTGCTAATTGTTTTTGTTGTTCAGTTGCACGTAATGGTTTTGGTCGATTAATAATTCTGGATTTTCTACCACCAGCCATTTGTATTAAATGTTCAATTGATTTTGATTGTAAATCTGGATATACAATTGCTTTCCATGATTTTTGCTGTGAATTCAAATGATCAATATGTTTTTGACTTAAAATATGTTCAACGTTAATATTTTGCAAATACAATTCACGTTCGGAATGTTGTTTAACGGGGAATTTTTCAGCACCGACCGTTGTTGTTTTCGAAACATCATCATCATTCCAATTATTAACTTTATGTCCAACATAACAAGCCCAATTATTACCAAGTACATCATGTGACCAACCTGGTTGTGTTTTATGACAATAACTTAAAACATTATTTTCCGATTTACGTTCGTAAGCAGAGAATGCAAAATATTTTCGATAATTTATTTTCACTTCAAAACCTTGATTATAAATCATTGTCCATTCACCAATATTACCAAATTTATCCACTGCAACATTTGGAAAATCTAAACGGATAAAGATTTTTTTTGAATATTTTTCTCGTTGTTGTTGATGTTCAGGACATTTTTCCCAACGATCTTTTATTGGTTCAGTTTCTTCAAACAGCCATAATCCTTTTATATCTTCATAGGTACAATTTGCAGGTGTATCAGCCAGAATTTGTTGCCAGCAACAAATTATTGAAACGAATAAAATTATCAATGATGATTTCATTATTTAGGAATTGAATTAATCGATGAAACTTGATGTGAAAAACAAAACAAAAACAAAAGCAAAAAACTACGTATTTCAACCACCAACAACAATGACATGATTGCGTCCTATTTATATAAATAGAGTCTTCTTCAGTAAAAATCCAGCAAAACAAACAAAAAAAAATGAAATGAAATTAAAAAGTCAAAATCAGCAGAAAGCAAAAATAAAAAAAAACCTCTCAATCATCAATAATCAATCAATCGATGATATGTGATTAGCATCAATTTCGTTTTTTTTTTTTTTTGGCCAAATCATAACATAATCAGCATTTTTTTTTTTGAATTGAATTGATACGCACTTTA